CATTGCATCCTGCGGTCAAGTGCAAGCAACCCCTTAACCTCCTCTACAAAAGTCTTGACGCACCTGTTTTTTGGGTTTGCTTGCTTTGTCCCTTTTGCGTGGTTGTTGCATTTCTGTTGTGTGAATTTGTGTCGCTGTTTGTGGCATGTGTTTGTTCCTTTGGTGTTTCTCTGTGTGTTTTTGTTTCTTCCTTGTATTATTTGCGTGTTTTCGCCCGCGCGAGCTAGTGTATGTATTTGTTTGTGTGCATGCAGGCTCGTTGCCTGCGTACGGTTCGCTTGATGGCTTGGCGAGCTTGCTAACGCAAGTTTCCTTTATTGCTATTGATTGCTTAACTGCAATATAACTTTTGCTATTTGCTATTGCTATTGCTTGCTTGCGCGCTTATCATCAATGTTGCTTTGCGTGGATGGAAACGGTCATGCAGACGTGCAGTTGGCAAATCAAAACAATTAGTTGCACACAGATGTGACATGTATTAATGCCCGTACTCGTGGCGCGTGGCTCAACATTGAACAACGCATTTACATTAAAAAACAACACCATGTGCAAGACCCTTCTGATTCGAGTCAGGCCATGCTTCGCGGTTGCAAGGTTCAGGCCACTGTGCGTTAATCTTTGTCAGTGCATGCTGCATGCATGAATGCAGCACGCAGGGTTTGACACGTCTGACGCGCCATGGCAGAGCGGATCTCGAATGAGCCATGGGTGACCAAGCTTGTGGCTGCGTGGAAGGATGTGGTTCCTGAGGGCACCAAGCAGGAGCGCTTGTACTGCAAGCAGGCGCATGCAATCGCTACACATGTGCTCTCGCGAATCCGGCCAGGACGAACTGCTGAAGGGCATCAGCGACAACATGGTGCTCAACAGCGAGACGGAGGATGGCATCAAGCTCAAGGAGGACTTGTGCAAGCAGAATGCAAACCTGGTGGCTGCGAGCCGTGTTGGAAAGTCAGTTTTTGTGTTTATGGAATCTGAGTACCGATCCGACAATGGTATTTTTTGGGGACAGTAAACTTCACGTATCCTCGCATGCACTTGCGCTTGCGGCCAAGGACAATTCCGGTTTGCGAGGAGGCAGGTTTCGTCTTCAGTTTGGACGTGCTGCAGGCAGCGGTGCTCACGCTGTTTCAGGACTGCTTGCACGCGCATCTGGGTTGACTGTTCGGGAATCCGATGTACATGTCATGGCCATTTCACGCAAAATTTCAATTTGCTTGTTGTTCAAGTGCAGCGATACGTTTGGGCCCAGGGAATATTTGGCAGATGTGTGAGTTTTGGCAATGAGAACCGTTCTTCACCTGAATTATAAGCCATTTGTGGCTCAACATTTTGTGGCAGTGCTTGCCTTTGGCCGGCCATGTCTGCTTGGCTGGCGATGGCAAGTGAGAAGCCTGCAGAACCTGCGACAGCCACGGGTCGAAGGACTGTGGCACATGTGAAAGACCCCTACATCAGGTTCTTGCAGGCCGGATCCTGACAACTTGCTTACGTCTATTAAGCAGGGAATATGTGACCAGTAATTTGCACTTGGTTTAAGGCGGCCTGTCTCCACAAATAAGTGTCATCACCCTGATCATGAGAGGCCCAGAGCGTCAAGCTCGAGCGCTGTTGGCGCCCGGCAAGGCGGAAGCTCAGAGCGTCAAGGCTCAAAGCAACAAGGCGGCGAGCAGTGGGCGCAGCAAGGAGACATGGTGGAGGCTCAGAGCGTCACGGAGGCCATGGGGGCGCTTACGGTGGGTGGCGTCAACAAGGCGGCGATCGGGGCGGCGCTCGGCAAGGACAAGGTGGAGGCTCAAAGCAACAAGGCGGCGAGTGGTGGGCGCAGCAAGGAGGAGGACAAGGCGGTGATGCGCCCGCGCATCAAGGAGGGACAGAGCAACAAGATCGGGGGGGCGCGCGCCAAGGACATGGTGGAGGCCATGGGGGCGCTTACGGTGGGTGGCGTCAACAAGGCGGCGATCGGGGCGGCGCTCGGCAAGGACAAGGTGGAGGCTCAAAGCAACAAGGCGGCGAGTGGTGGGCGCAGCAAGGGTCAGAGCAACAAGGCGGTGATGCGGCTGCACATCAAGGAGGAGGGGCCGAGCAACAAGATCGGGGCGGCGCACGCCAAGGACATGGTGGAGGCTCAGATCGTCACGGAGGCCATGGGGGCGGTGGGTGGCGTCAACAAGGCGGCGATCGGGGCGGCGCTCGGCAAGGACAAGGTGGAGGCTCAAAGCAACAAGGCGGCGAGTGGTGGGATCAACAAGGCGGTGATGCGGCCGCGCAGCAAGGAGGAGGGTCAGAGCAAGAAGATCGGGGCGGCGCACGCCAAGGACAAGCTGGAGGCTCAGATCTTCACGGAGGCCATGAGGGCGCGTGGCAAGAAAAAGATGGGTGGCGTCAACAAGGCGGAGGCTCAGAGCGTCAACAAGGCGGTGAGTGGGGCGCGCAACAAGAGCAGCGTTAATATTGGAAATGAATCATAGGTGTTTTCCGTGTTGGTCCAAGGTGAAAACACGATTGATGGCCTGATTTGTGGTTTACCATACTCATGACTCAGGGTGCCACACAATTAAGTTCTAAGTTTGATCTCGCATGGAAGCCACCAATTGTTTTTATGTAGGGGAATAACTAGTTTCCATGAATTTTCAGAGTTAGTCTATGTTTTCAACAAATGTGTGAACCATTTTTGCGGTTTACCCGGACCCGACCAGCGTCTGCAGGACACGATGCGCAAGCGCTGGGTGGACGCGGTGGCGGTGGAGCGCAAGGATTAAAACACATGTACTTTTAACCACGTGCGTGGGTGACCCAGCCGTTTGCGAAATATAAGTGAGTTGGATTGTTTATGTCACACGTTCCACGCTTTTGGCTTGAGCTTCTTTCAACAGTAAGTATTGTCGGCCATGGTGCGGTTTACCCCTGACTCAGCCTTTGCAGGATGAGAGCACGGCGCGCAAAGCGGCTCGCGTGGTGCGGGCCGATCTGGTGCTGAGGCGCGCTTCCTTACAGCAAACTGAAGTTGTGCCACTCACTTCATAGTGTTGTTGAGCTGGCAAGATTCTCTAGTCAGGCAACATGTTTAACATCCATCAATTTTTGGATTGGCTAAAGTGTTCAAACGTAACGCCGGCCACGTTAGCCCTTGCAGGACAGGAGCGCGACACGCAAGCGCAAGGCGGAGAACAGGCGCTCTATCATGCGAGACCAACATGTGTTCATTGGTTCGTTTCGTTTTTCTGTGTCGGTAAAAGTTTGTCAGCCAAACATTGCGCAGTTTGGGGCCAATCCTCTTGCGTGGTTTGCAAAAGGTGTTGCAGCCAGGTAAGTATACCGAGGTGCGCCCAACACGTGTTTTTTCCTGCAAGCCAATTCTTAAGTGTGACCCAGTTCGTACTTCCGGGTTGTTGAGACATGTTGGTTTAAGTCTTCAAAGTGATTATCTGTCTTTTTACGCTCTACCCTAACTCACAGCCTCCGCAGGATGAAAGCGCCAAGCGCAAGCGCGAGGTGGATGCATCGGGCTGCAACAATTGGCGATCTCCTGCCTGGGCCAAGGCGCTTTCATGCGAGACAAATTTGTCGTATCCATCGCAAACTTGATGCGCTGTGTACGTTCTTTTGTTTGAAAGACGCTGGCAACTCCACTTAGTATTGCGGTTAGGTTCTAGCACGCGCGCTAGGCGGCCACAGCTTGCGTGGCGGCCATCACGGTGGGCTGCAACAAGATGACGGACACGGTGGAGAAGCTTGCGGTCCATGTGGCACCCCCGGCGGATCGCAAGCTGTCGGCCTGGGTGCCCAACCCGCCCCCGCCAGCGCATGGTCTGCAGACAGTGGCTGGCAAGGCAGCCGTATTCGAGACCCAAGCTGCCTCCATCCAACATGCCGAGTTTGCGCCCATCGTTACATGAAGGCAGTGATTCGCCGGGGCCTCCTGACAGGACGGTCGCACACAGGACTTCACCACCTCAGACGTTGGCAGGTTTCCGCGGACGCGGCCGAGGTCGCGCCGCTTCACGCGGTAGAGGTTTGCCCCAGACGATGCAGTTGGCACGAAATCAATGTTGTAGCGACAGCCCGTTGGTTCAGAGCATCTTGACGGACCTTGCATGTGTTTGGATCTTTTTCCGCGGTTTTGAGTGATCTTCGGGATAGCCCCAACATCAGAATGTTTTGTGTACTCGTTCACATATGTTTTACAATGTGACACTTCACTCTTGATTGTGTAGCCATTTTGGCTCAAGTAAGCATTCATCTATATTCTGCTGATAATTTTTCACATTTGAACTGGAACATGCTTTTGGAACATGCATTTTGCGGCTCTACGTTCTTGCTTTGACAACGTTTTTTTTTGACAACGCATGAGCATTGCAGTTTGGTGCCATGGATGCTTGGCGCCTCCACTGATTGGGTGCCGCCCAATACATGTTCACAGGTCTGCCTGGTTTGTGGCACTCAATGTTCCCGCATGGAGCCCGAGCATCGACACCACCGCTGCAGCTTGCGTCGGAGGATTCATTAGGCGAGTGCAGTCCAGGTAAAAATGAAGCTCGCAGCCCAGAATGGGCAGTGGTTGGATCCCATCCTGATGGTCTGGCTGCGCCGCTCATGGCTCCACCTAGTCGAATTCGACGCCCTTTATCCCTCTGCAATGATTTGCAATTTGGTGGCCTTCCTCCTCCTCCTCCTCGAAGAGCTAGGACTGAAGATGTGCAGCCATTTGCTCTTATGCGGCTGGTTCCCAAGACTATGCCGGCGTTTCGCCCGGCTCAAGCATCTATTGGGAATCCCCCTTGCAGCAAGCCACGTGCTGGGAGCAGCCCATGCAATATTGATGAGTCCTCCAGATTAGTAGAGGTGTTCTTGACGGAAGTGTTTGCGTTGCAGCATTTCTCGGAATTGCATGAACTTCAAGCATCATCCATGCCTAAGCAGCACGTTGCTCGGATTCTGCAGGCATTTGCCCCCTCAACAGTTTTGAAGTACCTTACCACTTGGAGAAACTTCGCCAGGACGTTGATGGATTACCACTTGCAATGGCAGGATCTGACAGCGGTGCAGATTGCAGATGTTCTTGTTGCACTTCAGCTGGCGAAATCCGATGACAAGAGCAATGGCAGCAGTCGTTTGGGCGCTATCAAGGCTGCGCGATGGTTCGCTAAGCTGGCTCGTGTCCAGGTGTTGGATTGCCTCTGGTCACCCGTGATTAATTCCTTTCTGCAGACGAAGATACAGCATGAGCGCAAAGAGAGCTGCCCCTTCCCGCTTTATGTCATTGTTCAGTGGGAGCGTCGTGTACTATGCGAAGCAGCCTCTGATGCCGAAGTGCTAATTTTGGGAGGATTCCTTGCAATTTTGTGGGCGGGACTACGCTTCGCGGATGCACAGCGGACGATGTTGAATTCTCTGATTTTTGATTTGGTTTCAGTCCGCGGCTCATCGTTTCGAACGAAGACATGTCATACCGGGCAACCCTTTGGGTTCCTTGCATGTGGCTTTCTTTCAGCGGGTGATTACTCATGGGTCTATAAGTGGTTGTCCACTCTTGATGAATATGCGTCCAGAAGCTCAACTATCAATATGGACGACCTGTCTCTTTCTTTCTTGATCCCATCATGTGATGCAGGTGGCCCGCGACTTCCGCTTCAGCCGTTGTACTGGATCCGTACATTTGTGCATCTTCCCTGGAAGAGACAGCCTTGTGATTTTGCGGTAAATTTTACCGTGCGCAGCTTGAAGTCTACTGCTTTATCCTGGGCATCCCAGCTCCCAGAAATCAGTGAAGAAGAACGTCAAAGGCAAGGTCACCACCGAGGTGGTTCTGTCAAGCTTTACTCTCGTGATGATGTCAGCTTTCAATTCCGCCTTCAAAACAAGATCATCAGAGCAGTGCAGACTGGCAAACGTTTCCTTGTGCCACAACATCGTGGTGGGCAACGACCGATGATCGACCCTCCCTTTGAGTTGGAGCGGTTCCAGAAAGAGATCTCTGAGCGGTCATGGTTTGCGATTCATACTTGCAGGGCCGGCGAGGAACCTGTCTTCTTGCAGGTCCCGGCTGATGAGACTTCGCAGGAGTCGGATGCTCCTGCCGGACGGGACAAAGACGCAGTGTCCATTGCTTCCAGCGACTCTAGCTCCTCTAGCTCCAGCTCTGAGAGTGATGATGCACTCTCCCCTGCCAAGGCAGTCAGCGACCTGCCAGACGAGTTGCTTGTGGCATGGGTGCATTCATGTCAGCACATTATGGTCCCCTCCTCAATGTCTTGGCACCCTATGTATAAGGGCCGGTACTTTAAAGCAGCGTGTGGCTCCCAAATCCATGTGGACAATGTGCGTTGGAGTCAGCAACTGGCATCGGATATGCCATTATGCAGGCGCAAAGCCTGTCAATCCCTTTTTGCAGGACTCGCATGATGCGCATGTCAAGGTGAAAGGGCGTGCGGTCGCTGGGCCTCGGTTGTACGGGTGCCCCTCCTTCTCAATTTTTCGTTCTTGGGACGTTGCGTATCTCAGGGAATCGTGCTTGCCAGTTGTTTTCAGGCTCACCTGCAAGATGCTGACCCCATTGTTTTGATCTCGGGCCCTCTTTGCACCCGACATTTTCGTTCTTTTTTGCGACTCTTGTTTATGCTGCATTTGAGGGTCAACTGGCAATCCAGTCTCTTGCGTCATTCTTTTTGAGCAGTTGCCGTGCTGCAACTTCGGATGGGGTGGGCTGGAGCGGTTCACCTTGCGGCCAGTGCTAAATCATGCATGGGCAGATTTTGCGTGGGTTGTGGCATTGAGTGTGCCACTGCTCTTTGGCCGTGAGCCTGCGTCAGCTCTCGAGGGGAGCGTTTCGCGTTATGTGCATGCTTTGAATATGTGTTTGAGACCTCTCTCATGCGCAAGTGAACACTTGTTTTAACCACGTTGTCCTTGTTTGCGGTTGTACCAGCTTTGCAACCCTTGGCAGCCATGGCTACCGCAAATGCAGATGACCTTGCGGATATTCTCGCGGCAGCGGATGTGCCGACGGATATCTCTGCGTATATGATTCAAGAGGGTTGGAATTCAACGACATTTTCAGAGGTGGTCTCTTCTCCGGAGGAGTTCAATGACATATGGGCAGAGCTTTTGCCGCTCCATAGTTTGACGCTTCTCCAGAAAGCACAACTCAAATCAGCGTGGAATCAGGTTCGACTATCTAGGCGACCAGCAGCAGTGTCCGGTTTGCCTAGTGAGCCGTCTGCGCAAGCTTCCTCGTCGGAAGGCAGTTGGGCGGAAACCTTTGCGCCCAAATTGAGTTCATCAACCATTTCGTCATTGAAGCAGACTTATCTTGCCAATTACCCCAGCGAAGTTCTTACACCCGAGGTATTCCCTTCCACTAGGCTTCTCTCCCTTGTGCATCACAATTGCACCAAGAATGACATCAAATGGATTCCCTGGAAATTTCGCATTACTCAATCCAGAGCAGAGGATATGGTCATTCAGAAACCTGCAAAGTCGGCCAAGATCGAAGGCCTGTCTCTTCACTCTTTGTTGCTGGATGACCCACCTTCTATGGATATCAGCAATCAATCTATGGGCTTGCATGGTGTTCGCAGTCTCATGGTGAGAAACAGTTGTAACCCCACTTCAGTCCATAGGAGATGTGCATGATGTTTCATGTCACGACACATGAATGTGTGCAGTTGACGTTTGTACTGGAGGCCTTTTGTGGCACGAGCGCGGAAAAGATCGTGCGAGCTCTAGGGTTGAAACCTGTGTTTGGTGTGTTTCCCCTTTTGCTTGTTTTGTTTCTCATGGTAGCGGAGCGCTGAAGACCAGCGCCTAGTTGAGCCATGGCTGAGCATCAAGCTCAGATGGATCTTCTTACAAGGTTGGCCACAGCCACTGAGGCAGCTGCCGCAGCAGCACAGGCGGCGGTTCAGGTGAGTCAAGCAGCAGCTTCTTCACCTACAGGCGCGCAGGCGCACCAAGATGATCGGCAGTGGCATAAGCTGGTCAACAGGCCGAGTGTGTTCGAGCCCAAGTCTCGGGAGGAGGAAACCGGAATGTGGAAGGATTGGTTTTGGTCAGTGGAGCAGTTTTTGGCGACAGTTGATGTGGCATTTCAAGCAGAATTGACAGAAGTTACAAATCATTTGGATCGCGAGCAATCACTTAGCGGCATGACGCAGGTGCAGAAAGAGCGTTCACATTTCCTTTACAGCTTGATGGCTTCTCTTCTTCGAGGACGACCTCTTCAGATTCTGAAGGCCGTACCGAATTCAAATGGGTATGAGGCAGTTCGGCAGTTGGTTGGTTCCATTCAGCCTGCATCTCGGAACAGATCTTTGGCCATGCTCAGTTCGTTGATGAGTTGGCCCCAGTTTGATTTGAGACAATCTATTTTGGCGCAGCTTCTTAAATTGGAGGAGGCAGAACGTGAGTACAGTCGCATTGCAACAGAACTTTCAGATGAGATCAAGTTTGCAGTTTTGATGAAGTCTGTTCCCCCTGGTCAGCTACGTACGTACTTGACTGTTCAGATTTCAGATACATCTTCGTATAATGATTTGAGGTCCGCTCTTTTGCGGTATGATACAGCAACCACCAAGTGGAACAGCGCAACAGCGCTGGGTTTTGACAACTCTTCTCAGCAGCATGGTGAGGTTGCCCCCATGGATGTGGACAGAGTGTTCAACAAGGGTGATGGCAAAGGCAAAGGAAAAGGCAAAGATCACAAAGGTGGCAAAGGCGGCAAGTCCAAGGACAAGCAGAACAAAGGTTCTTGGGACTGGCAGCAGAACAAAGGCAAGACAAACAAGGGCAAAGGTGCTGGTGGAGGAAAAGACGGAAAAGGGAAGCAGCAATTTCAGTCTGGGAAGGGGTACTCGCATAGGCCCCAAGGAGCATGCTTTAATTGCGGCAAGCCAGGACATGTGGCCAAGAACTGCTGGGCAACCCCGAACCAGCAGGCGCAGCGGCACACATACGGGCAAAGCTACTCGGGCGTTCGCAGCGTTGAGTTCGATGAGACGCCATATGAACCGAGAGGTAATGCCGCATCAGTGACCCCCAGCACCACACCCAGTTCAGCGCAAGCTATGCAGCAAGCGCAGCAAGCTTCGCAATCAGCGCAACAGCAGCGTGTGAGGAGAGTATTTGCAGATGTTTCTTTTGAACAGGTTGGAGAGCAGGACCAGGCAATTGTTTTTGATTTGACAGCTGGAGATCATGCGAATTTTGAACCGTTTGGCTCTGTTGGCATGGTGCGTTTCAGTGCAGTTTCAACTGAATTTTTCAGATTGGATGCATGTGACGACACGTTTGATGAACCCCCTCACAACATGCCTGTTTACAGTTTGCTTGATGAGCAAGTTGAGCAGCATGAGCAGCAACATGACAGCCACACAACACGTGCAGCATGTGCTTTCGCCGATGGTTTATCCTCGTGTGATGTGCATTTCTCTGCAGACGGCATTATTCGAATGGTATCTTCAGATCAGGCATCTATGCTTCCTTTGCAGTATATGCATGTTGGTAGCGCGCTTACAGGGCAAGTTCCAATCCTGTGCGATGCGCAAGGTGGGCGAATCCCGGTCAGCAGTTGCAAGAAGGTAGTATTTGAGTTGGAAACAGATGGTTCTCCAAAGGCAATTTTGAAGGAACGTGTGCATGTAGGTGCAGTGCAAAGCGCTTTGATCAGTTTTGGGCGTCTCCTGGCATGTGGTTGGGAGATCGTGCACAGCGAAGGTGGCCCAGTGCTCAGACACAATTCTGGCAGCAGAGTGCCTATTCATATGAAAGGGCACAGCTTAGCGGTGAGAGGCTATGTGAGGCACATTGGTGAGCAGCAGCTTACAGTCGTGGTTGACCCGGCACTTCTGCAGCTTTCTTTCGGTTGGAACCTCAGTCCTTCTGGAGGCCCGCTGTTGAGGTGTATTGCAACACACTTCACAGATCCGACCGAGATGTGCAATGTGGAGGAATGGCCATGCAGGACCACTCTGATCAAGAGCAGTGATGGTGCATGGAGTTTGGTTGAGTTTTGCGAGCGAATTTTGAACATGGAGGATCGTGCAGGTCCCCTTGGAACCAATGAGCCGGTGGAATGTTTGGTTATTCTTTCAGAGAGAACTGCAACTCCAGAGCAGATGGGATTTTCAGTGTGCGAGGTGCAGTCACTTCCTGTTGGCTCAGCGCATGATGACTCAGGGCAACAGGATGTGCCAGTGGCGCCTCAAGATGCTCAAGACACTGAGGAGCATGTAGAAGGCGGGGCTCAGGACGCACCTGTGGTGCATGTTCGTGTTGAGCCCGATCAGCAGACAATCGAGGTGGAAGGCGTACAGTTGAGTTTGGCATCAGGGATTGGTGCATTGAGAGCAGCTTGCAAGGTTTGCAGTTTATCTCAGTCTGGCAGCAAGGCAAAGCTTTTCAAGAGGTTGTGTGATTTTCATGAGCGGCAGCGCATTTCCATGTCACAGGAGGTTGCAATGAAAGCGCTGCAGGACTCTGAGCGTATTCCTGCCATGGTACCGAAACCTGAGGTACCCGATGAGGCCGCAGTGGCGCGACACCGTTTGACTCATCAGCCTTATGCAGCATGGTGCGAGACATGTGTCAAAGTTCGTGCTAGGAGTGACAAACATGTTCGTGATGAAGGAGCTCCTGCAGAGCGCGAGATCCCCACGGTGAGCATGGATTTTTGCTATACGAGCTACAGCGAAGATGATGAGTCCAAGTTGTGTTGTTTGGTTTTGCATCATTCAGCAACCAAAGCAGTGCAAGCAATTCCTTTGAGTAGCAAATCAGCAATGAAGTACATGACCCTGGAGGTGGTTCGCTTCACAGTTTTCACTGGTGTAGGAGAGCTCATTCTACGATGTGATCAGGAGCCGGTGCTATTGAGCTTGCAGCGCAATGTGCAACAGGCGCGACAGCGTATGGGCTTACATACTGTGATTGAGAATGCCCCAATTGGTTCGCATGCAAGCAACGCTAACGTGGAGAACAGCGTGCATCGACTACGTGGAATGGCAACTACGCTTTTGGTTGCTTTGGAAGAAAAGACGAGTTTGGTCCATGGAGTGAAGCATGCAATCACAGCTTGGGCATGGGTTCACGCTGGTTGGATTTTGAATCGGTTTGGGACGCGCGGCAATACAACAGCGTACGAGCTCATTCATGGGCATGCGTATACAGGACGGTTGGTGGAATTTGCAGAACCCCTGTTGTCGTATGTTGTGGTTGAGAAGAACCCGCACAAAGGGGCAGCGAAGTGGGTTCGTTCCATTTTCCTTACCAAGTCCAACACGAACGACATGTTCCTGGTTGCAGTGGCTGGCAAGATTCGTTTGACGCGGTCAGTGCGGCGTACGGGGCATGCTTGGACAGATTACATGGAGCATTATCAGAAGCTGGAGACTCCCCCTTGGGAGATGGAAGGTATCATGGGTGCCCGCATTTTGCCTACGTCAAAGCCGATGGCGCAAGCGCTCGAGGTATTTCCTGCCCTGGGTGCAATTCAAGACGAGGCAGCAGAAGAACCTTCTTCGAGTTCAGATTCAGACAACAAAGGTAGCAGCATGGCGGGTGTACAGGTTTCTGGATTAGGCGGGGCGCCACCCCTCGTGCCGAGTGCGCCAGCTGGAGTGGATCGACCTGCGAGTCCGCGAGGAACCTCAAGCAAGCTACTACCAGATGAGGCAACTTTGGATGCCTTGTCACCCTCAAAGAAGATGAAGGCGAATGCAGTTGTGGCCGAGATGGAGCACGAGGATGAAGACGATTTTCAGGATTTGGAGATTTCAGCAGATGAGTATGAGAAGTGGTGGATGGACGATGAGCCTGAGCTGGAAGAGGAGCAGTCAGATCTCTCCCTCAGGTATCCCTTCACATCAGACAATGAGCCTTCTCTGACCAGCGATGAGTTGCAGCGGTTGGATGCAAAGGCAGACGCGCTGGAGGTGTCTCGGTTGCTGGGCATGGAGGTTCTCTTGCCCCCACAGATGTGTGACGAGCAGGACCTTGACACTCCTTTGACGGCAAAATTTGTGAGAACATGGCGCAAGAAGCACGATGAGTCTGGAAAGCCTTACTGGCTTAGGAGATCGCGGTTGTGTGCTCGGGAGTTTTCATTCTGGGAGGTGCGCAACGACACATTCAGTCCAGCTTCGACCCCATCAATACAGCGTTTGCTTCCAGCGATGCTTTTATCTGGATGTTTTCCTGCCACATACACGTTGGCATCATTTGACATCAGCGACGCGTATTTGATGGTCCCTCAGGAGAAAAGACGTTTGGTGAAGATTCTTGATCACCACGAGGTCTTCATCATTGACAAGCTATTGCCTGGACAAAGAAAAGGATCAAAGCTGTGGTATGAATTTTTTGTGAAAGATTTGGTTGAGCAGCATGGTATGTCAGTTTGCGATGTGGTACCAGCGCTTTTGCGAGGCAATCGCAGCAGCATGTTGCTACACGTGGATGATTGTCTCATGGCAGCTGATCGCAAATGGATGACCACAGTGTTTCTGCCGGAGTTGAGGAAGAAGTACAAGCTTACTGTGAAGATTTTGGATGAAGTTGGCAGTTCAATTGAGTTTTTGAAGAAGACGTATATCAGCCTGGAGAATGGAATTGAGATTGTTCCCGCAGGACGGCATGTGCAAATTTTGGCCAAGAAGTTCGAGGAGGCCAATGGGAAACCTGCGAGAGTTGCAAAGACACCTGTTTTGCAGCAGCTTTTCACAACAGACGATACCCCACTGTTGAGTGCTAAGTACCATGAGCATTTTCGCAGCCTGGTAGGTCTCTTGATGTACATTTCGCAGGACCGCTGGGACATCATGTTCGCAGTAAAAAGCCTGGCGTGCTACTTGAGCTCACCAACTGAACTTGCATGGCGAGCTTTGGCACGGGTTGTAGGGTACATGGTATGGACAAGGTCGTTTTCAATGCAGATGCATGTGAGTAGCAAAGGACATTCAGTGTTTTCCCACATGGCAGATGGTGAACCCTGCAAAGACAAGAATCTTTTGGAGTGTTTCAGTGATTCGGACTGGCAGGGTAGTTGGGGAAAAAGCACAAGTTCTTTTGTGGTATTCTTCAACGGCCTTGCGATACATGCAGTTTGCAGAAGCCAGAAAGTCATCAGCTTGTCCAGTTGCGAGAGTGAGTGGTACGCGGCATGCAGTGCAATGAGTGACACATATCAGTTGCGTTTTTGCTTGGAGTTCATTTTGCAGACAGATGTGGAGATGATTTTGCGCATGGATTCTTCAAGCGCCAAGCAGATGGCATACAAGCAAGGCAGCGGACGCATCAAACATATGCGTGGACGCCTCTTGTGGATGCAAACCCGAATCCAGCTTGGAGAGTTCAGTATTGCAACAGTCAGCACAACATGGAATGTGAGTGACTTGAACACCAAAGGGTTGAGTCATGACAGGCATTTTGCTTTATTGCATTTCTTGCGTTTTTGTGATGACGGCAGCGAGGTTGGTCAGTGCGAGTACCAGCAACTGGTGCTCAGAGAGCAGAACAAGAATCAGGTGCGACGCATTTGCAATTTTCTGACAGGTGATGGTAACAAGTGCACGAGCACTAGCAATGTGCAGTGTGCAAAGCAGATGGTCCGGATGCTTACTTTGCATTCACTTTTCGGCACAGCTCTTGGAGCAAATGAGGCATGGTTTCAGGCCTTGGGTCTGGCTGCGGTGTATTGGCAGTATGTGAGTGAGTTTATTTGCAATTTCGCATTTGTGTGGTTTCCGTTACTGGTTGCAGCATTCTTGTTTTTCTGGATGCGGAAAGCAATTGCGGACAGCAATCAGCAGATGAGAGATTTGGTGAGGACTGTCGAAGGAGATGTGTATTTCACCATTTCTGGCTTGCGAGATGAGGTAGCGTATGCAATGACAAGGCTGGAGGAGAGCATGAGCGAGACAGACGCCAGGTGGAACACCCTTTTGGATGATGATGGTGTATCCCGTCGTTTTCATTGGATCTGGCATCAGCTGGACATGACCAGGATGTTTGCAGATGGTCTGGTCGGTCGCATAGCGGCACTGGAAGCGAGAGGTGGTGAACCAGATGCTGAAGCAGACCCACTGGTCGAAGACACTGAAGTAGATGGAAGTGTTCATCTCAACTTTCGAGATCATGGGTATTTGTCGGAGTCAGGTGAATTTCCTGAATCAGAGATGCCTGAATCTGTGAGTCCGCACAGTGTGGTGGATTGATGTATTTGCAGCAGATGAATTTTCTTTTCAATTTCCTTATGTATATGTGGCGTGAGAGAAATGAAATCCGGTTTTCCAGATGAAATGGATACAATGGCGAGTTTCACAAGGAGCATTTTGCATAGCTCTTCATGAGCCCAGATGCTATGCATGGAAAGCAGTTTCAGTTTGGAGTTGACCGTGAAAACACGGCAATCCAAAGGCGGGGTGAGAAACAGTTGTAACCCCACTTCAGTCCATAGGAGATGTGCATGATGTTTCATGTCACGACACATGAATGTGTGCAGTTGACGTTTGTACTGGAGGCCTTTTGTGGCACGAGCGCGGAAAAGATCGTGCGAGCTCTAGGGTTGAAACCTGTGTTTGGTGTGTTTCCCCTTTTGCTTGTTTTGTTTCTCACATGGCGGTGCACGACACAGCAGTTGCCCTTTGTGGAGCTGCGCACCTCGTGCGCCTCAAGGCCTACAGCCTGCGATTCATGAGCTTCTTGTCGCAACGATTTGACCAAGAATCAGGACTGAGACCCCCAAACATCCTGGAGGCCCAATTAGCAGACAGGCACATTTGGCAGGGAATTTCTCAGTTGATTCAAGAGAAAGGCTGGACACTTAATGACGCTTTGGAGGAATTCACTGTTGCCAGAGCGGACCTCCCTGGACTTTTGCAACCTCGACCTCGGGCGCAGAGACCACAAGCGCCCCCCAGTCAGTCGGGGTCATTTTCCACGAAAGGGAAGGGCTCTTCGGGGTCGTATTCAAGGGGGCCCAAAGGAATTGGCAAAGACGGGAAATCATCCCAGAAGGGTCCTCGATGGGTTACGGAGCTCTTTGTGAAAGGAGAGAAGAAACAATTGTGCTTGGCATTTCAGTCGAATCGATGCACTCGTTCGGAATGCCGGTTTACGCATAAATGTGCTTTCCCCAAACCGGACGGATCCCCCTGTGGCGGTGACCACTCAGCTCGGGATCATGCCTCTACCCCGCACTGACTCGACGCGGTTGAGACGCTTTCAACCACATGGGAGGAACCACAGCGATTGCAGGACTTAGTTTCAAGCATGCCAGCCATGTCAGTGGCCTTGGAGACGCCTCCCAAGGAGGACGCTTTCATAGACAAGGAGTCCGAGCCTTTGTCCTCCTTGCCTCAGCCACAGGTTTCACAATCCACAGGTGGCCTTGACACCCCCTGTGTCTTTGACGAGATGCTTTCTTCAGGTACTCGAATTTTCTTGGATATTTGCAGTGGATATGACAAGCCCCTTTCGAGGGCTATATCAGACCGTGGCAAATCTTATTTAGCAATCGACATTTTGATTGATCAGCGAATGGATATTCTTGAT